AATCTAAGTTCATCCTATTTTAATCTTTTAGCTTAACATATATATCTAATGCTATCTTTGCTAAATAAACTCAACATTTATTCCACAGTTATTTGTATAGGTATACTATTATTTGCTCTAATTGCAGAATTTTTCCATTTGGTTATAGTACTAGGTTTGTCTTGTGGTTTACAGTAAACTACATCATTCTTCTTATTGTCTTTTTCCAAGCTTTTGAATTTTTTGACTTTCCATTCGTATAAATTTGTCCTATGTCGTATAATGTATTCATGGGGTTCTTTTCTTTTTCCAAATTGTTCATCAATTTCTAGCTTAGTTCTTTTAATATCTTCATTACTTTCTTCCATCTTAGTTTTTATATTTTGTCAATATTTTTCTAATAACATCATAATTTCTATTTATCTAGATTTTTTTAAGATTTCTATAATATTCCATATCTATATATCTGAATTCTTTTTCATCATCTTCACTTTCTTCATCTAATACATTAATTACATCATGACAATCATAGTCTTCTATTTCAAAATATCTGCATTGCTCTTCATTTTCTTCCTCATTATGCTTTGTCTGTTCTACTAGATAATTATAATTTTCGAACCTAATACTTAAAGTTCCATTGCTATTTTTGTACATAATATTTTTTTTTGACACTGATATATGTCTTTATAAAAAGTTTCTTAGATTTCAATTTAAACTTATATTTGTCTGTCAAGAGAATTTCTTTGTTGGGGTAGCTTTTATGTCCTTTGGTGCTTTTCACTCAATCTTCCTATAAATTCTGTGCAAATTAACAAATTATCTCCAGTACTTTTCATTTGATATCCATTACTTTTTATTCCTATTTTAATGTCTTTATAAAAACTTTTTGTCTTGACTAAATAATCTCGTGTAAAGTATACCATTACACCCTTATTATTCATATCTAATTCTATGCTTCATAGTAGTTATTGCTCTATGTCTGTGAATTTGCTATCATATAAATATACTAATACTTTTGCTCCTAGATTTTCTCTATAAAGTCTTTTTACTCTTATTATTATCAATCATAAATGAGTTTGTTGAATATTTTTATTAACATTTTTTTTATAAGATTCGTTTTCTATTAAATTTAGGGATATAAATCAATCTTTCTGTGTACAAGAAACATATATTTCACCATAATGTTGATATATTAAGGATTTATTGAACATATTTCCTTTTTTATATATGTCTTAAGTTTTTACCAATTTTAATTTATTCTGTCTAAAAGTTTTTATATCTACTAAGGATTATAATCTTGTTCCTGACTTCATTTTTCTACTTAATGTCCCCAGTGAAGGATTACCTACTAGTCTACTACTACTAGCTACAATTTGTTTTTCTTTATCCATTACGTATAAATTCACTTACTTTTTTTGAAACTTACTAGCCCTTGTTTGACACCCATTTTGTTTGAAAAATAATTTTTGAAATAGTAATTGATGGAAGATTATATTGTTAAAAAATAAGGAGAGTTTTTAGGTTTATATTTAATATTATTTTATTAATATAATGTGTGATTGAAATGAATAAAAAAAAATAGAATGAGAAAAAAATGGGTAAATTCTTTGACTTTTCCTAAGTCTAGTTATTCTAGTTTATTTATTAAATTATCCAAATCTTATTTGGTATCTATTGACTTTTCTTTTTCTAATATTTTAATTCTACTTTCTAATTTTTCTAAATTGGGATTAATTTCTTTTTCACACGTATTATAAAATTTCTTTTTTAATATTTCACTGTTCTGGTTTTTAATATATTCTAAATTATGTTCTAAAGTTTTTATATTTTTACTTATATTAAACTGTCTAGCTTCAAAGTGCAAAAGATATTTAAAGTGTTTATCAAAGTTACAAACTAAAGTAGTTGTATCTAAACTATCATTTCTTCTAAAGTTTTCTAAAAGTTCTAAATTTGAATAATTTATTCTTTTCATAAACTAATTGTTTATATTTGTTCATTTTAATATATTGTTTAATTTTTTTGTAAATAATCATTAAGAGGTTGAACTATTTTTTTATTTTTAGAATTCTAGAATTTTTATTTTAGATTTTTCATATTTTCTTCAATTTTTTTGAGAGATTTTTAAGTGTTTTTAATTTTATTTCTAGATTATATTTTTATTAACAATTAGTATTTTATATTTTTATTTTTGAATTTTGAAGTTTTATAATTTATTAAATATAATTTTATTTATACCCTATTTGGTACACATTTTTTATTAAAATGATATTTTTCATCACATCAATAACTTTTATTTACTTTTTAACCACATATTTTTCATCATATTACTATTTAAAATATACTTTTTTCTCAATATCCATCAAACACCCCCTTAAATTCTTATTTTTCGTATTTTTAGAATTTGCATTGAAAGCACTCAAAACTTTAAAAATATGTTTTGAGTATTGTGTTATTGTTATAAAAAGAGAGAATAAAAGAAGAGAATAAGAGAAATCAATAAATTTGTGTATATATAATGAGAACCAAAGCCCTCTATTTATAGGTAATAATATCTAGAGCTGTAGGGGTACAAGTGTCATTCACATTAAATCTTAATTTACTTTCCTTTTACAACACTCTTCCTTAAATGATACATTACAAAATATCTGTTTCGTTAAAACCTTGTTTGATAAAAACCCAATGGAACAAAAAAAATCAAAACAAATGAAAAAAATACAGTTATTTTGGAGTATTAAAGATAAATACTGCCTCAATAAAATCTTGCTAGGAAAATTCAGTGGGATAAAACCTAAGCGAAGGAAAAAGAGTACATCTACTCCCCCTAATGTTGATCACCGAAAATCTTTGAGTCGACGCATTCCAATCTCTTGAACCAATATCTTGAATGTAAATGTCGAAAGTGTTT